GACACCTACACTATTCACAGCACATACAGGTGCACTCACCCTGAACACAACAACCAGAGCGCTAGCTATGACGGTTGGAAGCCCTGCTACGCCCATAATGATTCCATCATTAAATGCAGGCCACACATCAGCAATCTTCACTGATGCTGTGTCAACAGTTACAACCCCCGTAACTGGTCACCCTACCTTTGAAGACGTAAACGTTCTACTAAATCGCTTCCTAGATTCCACCATTAAACCATGGGTGCAAGATGCAATGACCGCTCTAGCACAGGAATTTAGGACCACCCAAGCGGTTCGGTCTGAACAGACACCACCCCAACCTTCCCCTGAACCGTTCATCTCCCATACACAACCCATATCCTCCACCCCTCTATCCCACCAATCCATCAACCAAATTCCTATCCCTTCTATTTCTCGGGGAACCCAGAATACAGAACCAGTATTCTCCCCACACCCGACCACACCCTCCATCGATCTCTCCTCCCTATCCTTTGACACCCTAGCTTCGGCTTTGCTGAATAACCTCTTGAATACCCCAGAAGACGACCTCACTCTTCATCAGCAAGCCATACTAGAAGCTCTTCTTTCCTCACCCGAAACCAAGAGTACTTGCAAGGAGAGTCTTCGTGGTCGCAAACGTTCCCATGAGGACCCCGATGATTCGGATCCTCATGAGGGGGAGAACAAGCGACCTCGATCACTTGAGAAAACTACTCTTCCAAGCCAAACTCCACAGCCAATTCAACCTGAAACCTCAACAAACCAACAACCACCATCCACAGCCAAACTCTCTAGCGTGGTCGAGCTAGAAATAACATCCCGAGGCGTATCTCCTAGAGATACCAACCGAGGAGGGGATGGAAGTCCTGATGATGATACCACTGGTACATCTTCTCCATCAGGCCATCAGTTGGAACCTAGTTCTAAGCTGATGTCAACGGGCAATCCTAGTGAACCCGGTAGTGCTACACAGGAACAATCACCGCCTAAACAAAGAACTCCATATATCTCCCCAGACAAAGACATCCATGATGCACTGGAAGAGGCGGTGATATACGACAAATGGCCGAGAAAATGGACAGAATGGGATGATCTCCGGGTTGAAGCCGAGCAAGAGGACATGCAAAGAAACTGGTGGCTACGAGAGCTTATTAACAAATGCTCTGAAGATATCATTAGGCTCGAGGACGATGAACGCAAGGAAGGGGAGAACTACAAGGAATCCCAGAAAGCTCTTGAATCGGTCGTAAGACAATCAGCGGGAAGACTTCCCAAGACAGAGAAACCCTGGGACAACGTTCGAATCAAAGCCCCCTTCCAAGAAGAAATCAGAGAGCATATCTGGCGTAGACCAGACAAAGTCAAGCCACTGAACGAACTGAAGCTAAGAGGCCTTACACACTTGAAAGGAAAACAGGCTGGAGGTCATCTGCATATGTTGCTGCAAAGGTCAACTGGTACACAGAGAGAACTAATGGAACAAGATCTGAAGTCGAATATTCTCCCGATTCATCAAATTCTACAAGTGAAGGCTGAAGACTATCATGGAGTAACATTCTACACTTTCAGACTTCAACGTACTGATGGAAGCGAATTCACTTGTCAAGAGAACGACTTCATCATGCTGAAACCGGATGACATCTACCAAATGCTCATGGCCTACAGATACCTTCCAGTCAGGCAAAACAAGTATACAGCGAAGGCCTCGCAGCTATCAAGAGATTCATGCTTAGACAGATCCGAGTACACTCCTCACATGACCTACAAATGGCTATTGAATGCAATCTGAAGAAGACAAATCTGACAAAGCCAAAACTGTATGGTCCAGAACTTGAAGATTTCCCAGCCTATCACATCTTCTTCAAACCGCCAGCAGTCACCTACCTGAACCACAAGAACGAAAAGCGTCTGATGGTAGTCAGTGAAATCGAGAAATACTGCGACGGAACACTGAAGATAATCAGAGAGCAGATTCTACATATGAAGGCAAAGCTGGAAGAAAATCTTCAAGAGGCATCGTCTTATGTTCAAAAGGAACACTCTACTGTGGAGACAATTTTAAAGGCCATTGACGATCGCCTCGAAAAGAGAAATATGCTAAGACAGTATGAACATGCACTTGGATTGAGGAAACACTACTTCAAATCACAGAAGCAATAAGAGAATGACACTTGATCACAAAGGGGGAGATTGTTGGAGATATTTAATTGTGAATCAAGTTGGTCATAGATTAGCTTTATATTTAATCCTTGTATTTAAATAGGGCATAAATTAGATAGAAATCAGGCCAAGTGTTAGGCCCATTTAAACAGGCCAAAAGCCTGTTACGCCTAACCTAAACCTCGCCTATAAAAAGGGAGCCGAGGTTTAGGAAAAGGTTGAACGTCGTACTTATTATTCATAGCCTTACGCTTATATCATTCTGCTGTACGTTCCACGGTTTATCAAAGAAGGTTTTATGGTGATTCATTCTGTGTTCATCTTTACGTTTAATCTTCCTTTGTTAGATCGATTATTCATTGCTGTTAAAGAAACAGGGACTAACAAGGTACTCTGTTTTTTTTTCGCGTTATTCTTCTTCTTCGTCAATCATCTTCTTCGCGATTTGTTTGAGCTGTTCGTCCTTCTCCTCTGCATTCATCTTCTTCTGCCATTGTTCGTTCGTTTGCAGAGTATGTTCACCGAAACTTTCCTGTATAGTCCTTCTTCACCAATCATGGTTAAATTTATGTTGCAATTGCTCTCATTTTGCTTCTAGAATATGTCAATTCGTCCGTTGTACACATGTCATTCTGCAATCATCAATATGTTTTATTCCTCTGTATTTTGCTTCTACAATATTAACAAAAAATTCAAAATTTTTATAATCGATTTCAAATTCATTATTGTTAATAATTTAGCTCGTTTGCTTTTCATCAACTCTATCAAAGCTTTTATTTCATGAAATTTCTTCGTATGTTGCTATTTCTGCGTTTAATCTTGGTGTTTAAATCGTGTCTTGCTGTAAGTACTAGATTAGGTTCTTCATAACTGGCTCTTTTGTATTTCTAACTGTCATTTTGTATTGTTTGCTGATTTGCCATTTTGTGTGGTAAATATTATTTATACATCCTCATAGACTGTCACATATTCACGCAAACTGTCATTTTAGTATAACCAACTTTCTTCTTTCATGCTTCTGTTATACTGAAATATTTGTTTTTCCTTCAATTTTTAGGAACCTTTTTGCACAATGGATCCTGTTTTACTTGTTATGGTCAAGGTCGATGGTTTTTGGGATTCTGACTATGTGTTCACCAATGTGCACACATGTGGGCTTCATGTTAACTATGGTGTTCAATATGCTTGTTTTGTTGATATGTTGACTGCCATCCTTTCTCAGTACAAAACTAATCATAATTTCAGGCTTTCTTATATGAGAGATGGATTCCCTCCTCCTGTAACTATAAATGATCAATCTACCTTAACATTTTATCTTTATATCAAGTCTCTTCAACCAGATTTTCTAAAGTATCCACTTTGTGTTGAGTTTTATCCTATCTCTTCTTCATATCCATCTTTTGTTGGTGTTGAACCTTCTGCTTTTCCTTCAGCTAAAAATGTTGTCATTTCTTCAACTCATTCACTTTTTGTTGATGAGAATGTTGTTGTTTCTTCCCAACAACATGCCTCCTCACCTGCACTCTCTTTTGATCACAGCTCATCTTTTTGCACTGAAAATGTTAACATCTCTGGTAGACACTCTCAAGATGTTGCTTCTTGTAGTAACACTGTGTCTAGAGCTGTAGAAATTGAAACATCTGAAGACAGTGATGAAGGCATGGATGACATGTCAGATGGCTTAGTAATAGAATCATCTCAGTCACTGTCATTTCTCCACAATTTTGAAGTCATCACACAGTCCCATCCTACTTGTCTTGTTCTATATGCTATTTACAAAAGTAAAACAGACCTTATCCACCATCTGAAGATGTATGCTATCACAAACCACTTTCAATACAGAACAAAGACCTCTAGGAAAATATCTTTACATGTTATTTGCTTAGATCCAAAATGTCGTTGGACTGTTCGAGCTGTAAGACTACCTGGCGTACAAATGTTTCAAATTAGAAGGTAACTTCTTATTTCATTCTTTTTGTTTGACTTCGTTGTTAATTCTTGTTTATCAGAATGCCATGTATTGGTGACATTCTTGTCCAAGAATGCCAATTGTATATTACTCACTTGTATAAAAATGCCATTGTTTTGTCATTTTAGATTCTGTCCAGAACACACATGCTCTATTGATTATAGACATAGCAAACATAGACAGGCAACTGCTACTGTGATAGCAAAACTTATTGCACACAAATACCTTGATGCTTCCTATAAACCGTACCCACCAAAACAAATTCGTGAAGACATGAGTATGCAATATGGAATTTCCATGTCATACAAAAAATCTTGGAAAGCACAGAAGAAAGCAATGCAGTTGCAATTTGGTTCTGATCTTGAATCCTATCAGGTTTTGCCTTCTATGGCTTATGTGCTTGAGATGGCGAATCCTGACTCTATGTTTGATCTAGTCACAGGGAAGGATTATGCATTTTGTACCTTTTTTATGTCATTCAGAGCATGGATAGAAGCTTGGCCTCACTGTAGACCTGTTCTTATACTGGATGGTTCATTCCTGAAGGCTTACTATAAAGGCACTCTTCTTACAGCTTGTTGTCAAGATGCCAATGATCACATAGTTCCTATTGCATTTGGTATTTGTGAGTCTGAAACAAAATCTTCTTGGAAATGGTTTTTATCCAAAGTCTGTCAGTCAATACAGTACATACATGACCTTTATGTAGTATGTGATAGGCATAAAGGTCTTATAAAGGCTGTTTCTGAAATCTTGCCACATGCTAGCCATGGTTTTTGTGTTGCTCATGTGCGTCGTAACATGACACACAAATTTAGAGGATCTGCAGCTACTTTGGGATGGAAGTTCAAAGCTGCCTATATGGCATCAACTGTTAAAGAATATGATGACTACTTATCCATGTTGGATTCTGAAAACTCCAGGATAAGGACTTGGCTAGACAAAATAGGTGCTAACACATGGTCAAAAGTAATTTCTGGACCAAAGAGATATAATATTATGACCTCCAATTGTGCTGAGTCTATGAACAAAGTCAATGTATGTGCAAGAGAGTATTCAGTCTCTAAACTTGTTGATTTTTTGCGTGAAAGGATGCAACAATGGTTCACAGAGAGGAAAGATAAAGCTGAGAAAACAAGTACTATACTCACACGGAAATGTGAGAAACGTCTTGTAGCTTTGCAAGCTGAAGCTACACGTATGAAGGTATGTCAAAGCTGATTTTTAACCATAAGTCAGTTCTCAGTTTTTTATCTGGTTATATAATGCCACTTTGTTTATCACTATGTCATTTTGATTCTGCATATCTGTCAGTTTTGTTCTTGTGTTAGTATATTGTTTAGGTACTTCATTTTTATTCTAATTTGATATTCATATTTTGGCCATTTCCTAGGTGAAACCATCATGTGCATATGAATTTGAAGTTGTTGATAGCAGATGCACGTCCTTTGTGGTCAATCTCAACTCTAGAAGTTGTACTTGTGGCCACTTTCAACTAGATCACTTTGTTTGTTTTCATGTTGTTGCTACAATTGCTATACGCCCACATCTGTCATATTATACTTACATTTCTCCTTTTTATACTAGAGATGCTTGGCTTGCTACATGGTCTGATATTATGCATCCAATTGTTGATCGTGACAGTTGGTCTGTTCCTGCTACTATTCAAAACCAACTATGCAAGCCACCAACTTGTATGAAGCGTCCTCCTGGTCGCCCGAAGAAATCCAGGATTCCATCCATTGGAGAATATAGAGGTTCAAAAAGACAAAAATGTTCTAGATGCCATGTGCTTGGCCATAATAAGAAAACATGTAGGAATCTCATTCCAATCAATACCCAGTGATACCCATGGCTAATTCATTGTATTTTGTCTTTTGTTTTTATAAAGTACTTTTAAGAATTCTATTATGTGGTTTGGACACAGTTATCATTTGTTTAAAATGTTCTGCCGTTTAGTTTTCAGGCCTTGTGTTTTGGCATTTTGTTTACTCGTAACTGACATATGTCAGATTTGATGGCAATTTCTGTTCACAATTGATGACAGTTTGTTATGGATAGAAGTCAATGATGTATTTGACATTTGATGTCAGTGTAATAAATTTATCCATTTCCATTGCCCACAATGGCATGTCAATATTGTGATGTCCTATTGTATATGCGTAATTGATATTGTTCATTGTTGATGTCATTTGGGTTTCTAAAAAAATGTCATGTAACTGTCATTTTATGTCATTTACATGCTGCATGTACTCAAATCTGACCCCACAAACAATCCTTTCATATGAAACTACAAGTATCCTGTACATAAACATAATTGAATAAACTTTGCCATTCCATTCCAATGAATACCCAGTGATTTACCTTTGCCAACTCATTGGACGTAGTTATAATTTCCTTAAACATTTAAGGTATTGATTTAGCCAATCTGCATATAAACAAAATTCTATCATTCAAATGTTCTTTACTCACAATTGCAGATCAATTCTCTGATGTCATTTTAATTATTAAAAATGACATATGTTTATATATCATGTCAATTGATGATACCACAAATGTCATCTAAAAATTAACACAAGTATAGATGAACACAAGTATCCTATGAACTATTACCATTTGAAACATACATTCATAGGTTCTGTTCGAAAAACAATAACAAAGTCAAACAACATGCTGTTCGAAAACAATCACAAATGATAAACATAATTGTTTCAAAACAATAACAAAGGATAAGCATAATTGTTTCAAAACAAATGTACTGGATGTTCCAAAAGTACTATTACATATTAAAAGTTGCACTTCATTCTTTCTCAGCCTGCCTTCTCTGGCTGTATAGAACCAGCTCAGTTGCCATTTTTTCCCTAAACAAGGGTATTGCTTCAGGATATATGGCATCCATGTCCATCTCTACCATTAGAAATTCTGCCATCTTCAACATGTATATTCCACAGTTTCCCCTGATGCATAACATAAAGAAAAAACATTTTTTAAAAATAATAAAGAAGTTCACTATTACGCAATCTGTTTAAGTAAATTTATATGCTCTTACCCATCATCTTGTTGTGGACATCCTTCTACAGGATCTACTTCCAAATACCGTTCACCCATAATCTCTTCACCCATCAGTTCGTAGACTCTGTGATAATCCATAATTCTGGGCAGGAGCACAGTTATGCTTGCATAATAGGATCTGATATCCCTCAGTGAATCACCTCTTCTAGCATTTGAATTGTACACCCTAACTTTTCTTTGCTTGATATCTAGTACTAACAACACCCAATGATTGCCAGTATTCAGAGGAAAGTACACATAGTCTGCCTTGCTCCAGTGTAGGCTATAGTTGTTAGCACCTATTATTTCACGCACAATGTTATCTTGTTCTGCTGACTTGTGGTATGTGTAGTGCCCCTTTGATATTGTGTCAAGTTCACGCTTGAGTATTTGCAAGAAAAAAGGGCCAGTTGTGGTATACTTTTGTGGCAGTTTGTAATGCACCCTTTTCATGCCCAAATAGTACATTACTACCTCAACATGCTGTAAGAAGTAAAATACACATTTATCATTTAAAGGTAAAGCAAACTGACTAATAATGTCATTCTGTACTGACTCAGATGTATTTAAATTTACACTTTGTCATTAAACTGACAACTATATGATCATTTGTATGCGTACCTTGTCAGTGATCCATTGGTGATTCATAAACAGGTCATATAACCATGTTTTTGATTCAACTTTCATTGTATCTAGCAAGAATGGTTTGTTGGTCATTTTGTCTTCGTCCTTTTTGTACCTTCTGCCAGTTTTGTTTTTTGTGAAGTTCTTCAGCAATCCAACTTCTAAGTATTCTTTCACCTTCTGTATTTATTCAACCGGTGGGTTCTCTGTTGGATCTTCAGAGAAAGGTCCAATTATTTGCTTCAGAGGTGGCAGAAATTCATCATCTTCTCTTTTCTTTCCCTTTTCTCTCTTCCTCCTCTTTGATGCATGCTCAGTTCCCATGTACTTCACTGGTGACCTAACAACACGCTTTTGATTGGGAAGATCCTCCTAAGGCATTGGCATAATATATATTATTTACTATGTTGTTATATGTTTATTTAAAAGAAGTAAGATACAGTCAATGTCATAGTACAAAATGTTCATAAACATTGGCAGTTGAATGTCAGTTTAACAATTGAAAATGCCACATGAATGGCATTTTACTGAGTTTTTGCATTTACCTGATAAGTTATTATGAGTGCTCTGCATGGATTAGAAGAATAGCTTTCAAAAGCCTTTTTGCCACTTCATCTGCACTCCTGCACATCTCTTGGACAAACTGACTATTTTCCTGTGAGCCCATCCCCCAAGCAGACTCACCAGTGTCTTTTTTATTTTCCTGTGCAGGTAGTCCCTCCTCTTGCATTTGGACACTGTCTTCAATTTTTTTCTGACTACCTTGAGACTGAGTGAGTATTTTGAATGTAGGCATGTCACAAATTGCTTCTTCAGTGTTCTTTTCTATCTCCTCAGTGTTCTTCTCTTGCATTTCGTTTTCATTTCTTTCTGCATCCTCATTCTCTTCTTTATCATCCTCAACCTCTGCATCAGCATCCTTATTCACACATGAATCCTCACTCTGAACATTTGCTGCCTGTTTCTCTTTACTAGCATGCTCATTCTCTACAACATCATCATTCTGTACAACACCATCCTCAGCCTCTGCATTCATCAACCTAGTGTCCTCTTCCACAACCATATCAGCAACATCATTCTCAGAATCTGGCCCAGTCATGGCTATCACATCATCTTCTTTTTCTTTTTCATTTTCTTCTTTTTCTTCTCCACTTTCTTCTTCATCTGTATCACCCTCTGCAGTTGCTTTTGTAGGCTCACTCTTCTCAACACCCTGTGACATTTTGTTGAGCATCAGAATGACATCTTTCAAAAGATCCTCTTGCTTTTTTTGATTCTTCTTCATATTTTTCATTTCTGCCACTAATCTGGCAGTCTCCTTTGCTTGTTTTCTGATGCTCTTTTTAATACTTTTGATGTCTTTGCTCATGAAGAATACATACTTATCTGCTTCCCTTCCACTCTCACTAGAATCATCACTATCGGTTTCTTCACCCTTCATCACTTTCTTGATCACTTGAATCATCATCACTCTCTTTTTCTACTGTAGTATTGTTTCTTCTTCTTCTAGAAGGCCCTTCTTGAGATTTGATTGCTTTACCTGTGCTCCTCCCAGCTTTTGTTTTTTTTTCTTTTGAATACTTTGGCCTGCATCACCTTTTGTTTCCCTTTTGCTACAATAGTATTTGGCTTTTGAGCATCAATCCTGCCAACATTGTTTATCACAAGGTGCATCACCTCCTCATTTATGTCATTTCCCTCTTCTATCATAGCAATCTCATCTGCAGTTGGTACTATCTGTGCCCATTCAAACTAAAACAAAAAACCATGTTAGTAAACAATGTGTGCACATAAACATTTAAAAATTTACATATTAATCAATAACATACCTTGTCATTCTTGAATATAATTTCAGAAAGGACCTCCAGTGTAGGTTTTTTTTAAACTCCCACTTTAGAGTCCTTGGTATGATATGTCTTGTCCCCTTGATGACTTTGCATAAGCCAGCCTTTGCTAAACCAGGAAAAGTTTCAAATGCCCACCACTGGAATGCCATTATGAAGCCAGGGAATGTTACTCTGTCTGCTTTTCCTTTATCTAGTGCCTCACAGCTCTATTTCACCTTGTTAACCAAGTCCACCCAAACGTCATCACCCCATGGATAAGCATTGAATGCATCCAAGTCATCAACTAAATTTATGTAGTATGCCTTCATGGGTCTAGCAGCTTGATTCCCAAATAAGCAGTGTGAAACTATGTATAGTAGTGCCAGTTTGACTCCATCATTTGTCAGTCTGCTATCATCAGTGCTCTTGTAATTCTTCAATGCATTCTGAATATCTGCACGAGTCACAGTTGTCTTGCCTCCTAAATAATTTGTCCATATATCTCCCTCAAGCTCTTCAGAAATATTTGGTTTCACAGCTCCAAACTTTAAAGCACACATTACTGCAAGATCATGCTTCTGAAAACTGATCACACTGTCTTTAATGTTAAACCTGATGACACTGTCATCTGTCTTTCCATTAACTTCAGTCACAAAGTTTCCAATCAATCCCAAAATCAATTGTCCACTCAGCCAAGGAATATCTTCTATTCTTAACATCCAACCAAATACGGTATTCTTGAACTCTGTCAGTTCCTCTGTGCTTAGATATGTCTTTATTTTCTTAAGAACCTCAGCAACATTGCAGTAGGAGTTGACACACAAGTCTTCCAACTTCAGTAACACTGACTTCTTAAAAGCTCTTGTTATTGTCTGTCAAGTTCACACATATATATGCACTTTAATCACCATGTAAATGACTAACAATAATGACACTTCATACAAAATGACACTATATGAGCAAGTAAAATTTATTAAACTGTCATTATTGCATCAATT